TGTTGTTATCGCTCTCTCTCTCTCTTTCAAGGGCACGCCCCGGCTCTCTGAGATTCCCTCCCAGGTCCAGCCGTGGCGAACATCGTTTAGATGCACAGCATTCTTGGCAGTTCTCTGCCTCGGCTGTTCTGTTGAGTGTTTGGGCGTGGTCGCTATTAAACTGTTGCACGTTAGGTGTCAAAACGTGCGCTTCTGCGTTCACATAACCATGCGGGGGGCCATCCCGGCTACGGTTCGTGCTTGGAATGGTTTATGACCCAGCAGGTGGTCATTTCGCCACCTTTCTTCCAGTCAACGCAACCCCCGAGAAAAAAGCAAGGGGAGTTGGAGAAACGCATATATACGATGAGTCAACCGTTCTCATCCTGTTTCTATTCACTTTTATTTAGGATGGTGGTGTAGAAGGGTTTCTCCCCGGAGACGCTGGCAAAATTGTGTTTGCCAACGCACCGACGTCGACGGTGCGCGGGGCGCACAGCCTTGAGACTGTGCAAACAAAAGCAGTTAAACGCTCTGAAAAATGAGGCCCATTTTGACTGCGACATCGATTCGCGGAGTGCCGAGTGCACTTTCACGCCAGGTACTCATCGCTTTTAGTCTGAACGGCGGCTATTAAGCGTGCGTGACGTGAATGCATAAGTAACCCTCGTTCTTCGTTTGTGTCTCATTCTTACCTGAAGCGGAGTTCCAGGTACAGGCATCCACTGAGCAGGAACTTGTGCGCATCGGTGCGTAAACTTGCAATCCCCAATGTCCCTCGCCTATATAAACGTAAGCCGGCTGCAACGTTTGCACGGTGGATCCCCGGAGGATCCCCCGCCCGCCGACCTCCTTTGCTCACCCCCCACCGAGGGACAATGGGAGGCCCTTCTCTCCAGCAACGACATAGACATCCAGACACGGGTCCTGAAACGAGCGGAAGAAGTCATCGAGAAGCACAGCCTGGCAGCCTTCGTGGCTTAGCCTCCCTTACCCCTCACCCCTTCGACTAATAAAGTTGTTACTCACTCACTTTGCACGGTGAGCGCCTGTGGCAAAAAACAAAAGTTGCGCTAGTCAATGTTCGGTGCAATAAATTTGATTAATGAATCAATTGAATGATAACATAGAAAAAATGTTACCGGATCCTTTTTGAGAATAGTAATTTCGCCTTTTATTGGTTTTTGCAGCATTTTCGCATAGCCAGTGATGTTAAGCGACGAGGATATCAGTTCAGCACACTCTCGAGGCGGTTCCAGTTTCAGAGGGAAGCAAAATGCCTTGACGTGGTATCTTTAAAGCGCGATTGTTGCAAAGTTGACAGTGCCATGTTTTGTAACTTCTCATTTAGATATGTCTTCCAGTAAAGGCACGTAGGGGTACATTTTACAGTATAATGAATGCACTACGATGCACTGCGATTCACTACGACGTTAGCCTTTAAGTGCGCTTCTTGTGATACAGAGAGAAGGAAAGGGGGCCGTCAAAGCCTTTATAATGGACACGAGAGTGCAAATGCGGTCGTATAGCGTGAGCAGTAGCCATGCGAAAATATACGGGACTTTCTGTTGATGTTTCTTTTTTTTTTCCCTGTCGTGGTGGTCTAGTGGCTAAGGTACTCGGCTGCTGACCCGCAGATCGCGGGTTCGTATCCCGGCTGCTGCGGCTGCATTTCCGATGGAGGCGGAAACGTCGTAGGCCCGTGTGCTCAGATTTGGGTGCATGTTAAAGAACCCCAGGTGGTCGAAATTTGCGGAGCCCTCCACTACGGCGTCTCTCATAATCATATGGTGGTTTTGGGACGTTAAACCCCACATATCATCATGTTTCTTTTATTTATCATTTCCTGTGGTATTTTGCCGGAAAAAACATTAATTCATTCCTTATATTTATATCCGCGTTTAGTTTGTGCCACCCCCCCCCCTCCCCAGTGTTCCGAGCCACACAGGCTCATAAAAGAGTGTTCCACACTCGCCGCCATGGCTACAGATGGCGCTGACTGACACTCCCACGTTTCAATTCACATATAAACCCAATAAAGTGGCTGGGGGGGGGGGGATAGCCGCCGTGATAGCTCAGTGGAAGAGCATCGAACGCGTTATTCGAAGGTCGTAAGTTCGATTCCTGCTCACGGCAAGTAATTTTTTCACCCACTTTTCTTTCTTCTTATTCATTATATTGGTTCTAATAACTTCCCCTATACACTCCTTGGTAGTATTGTCTGTTAGATCTCATTATTATTGTCTCTAAACACGGTAAAACGAGCCCTTAGGTATACTCTTCTTTCCCTTATATATATATATATATATATATATATATATATATATATATATATATATATATATCATGTCTGATTCTGTTATTCGAGAAGCCTTTAAGGTTTCATCGTCCGAAAGGCGAACGGCGTGTGTGAGGCAGCAAAGATGCGTTTGCCCTTCAAGCATGCCGTCCACGTACGGCGGCAAAACAGCCGAGGCGTAGCGACGATAAAAACTGCGGCGCGGCTGCTCGTTCACACGCGTACACACACACACACTCGGCGAGGTAGACTTTTCTTTTTTTTAAAGACCCGCGAGGAGTACGCGCCGAGGAGCCGCTCGCAGACTTGACTTTTAAATGAGAGCCCCGCGGTCCTCCCTTCCTGTTCTTACGTTGTTTTCGTTGGCCCCCTGCAAGTTTACGGGTGCGCGCGTAGCTTTACCCCGAGGCAGCTGGGATGCCCCGAGTGCGCGACTAGTTTAGGACACCGACAAGAGAAAGAGTATGGCATTAAGAAAAAAAAAACCGTTCATTTTGTGGACCTTGCTCGAATGTCCCGCACGCTGGAATGCACTCAGTACCTCTCTCTTTTTTCTTCTCTTTTTCTCTTCCCTCCTATCTTGCTATCTCCTCTTTATATTCCACCCCGCCGTGGTGGTCTAGTGGCTAACGTACTCGGCTTCTGACCCGCAGGTCGCGGGATGAAATTCCGGCTGCGGCGGCTACATTTTCGATGGAGGGGAGAATGATGTAGGCTCGTGTGCTCAGATTTGGGTGCACGTTAAAGAACCCCAGGCGGTCGAAATTTCCGGAGTCCTCCACTACGGCGTCTGTCATAATCATATACTGGTTTTGAGACGTTAAACTCGACATATCACTCAATCACCTTTATATTCTTCTTTACTAATCCCCAGTGTAGAGTAGCCAACCAGAAGTGTTTCAGGTTAACATCTCTGCCTTCTTCTCTTCTTCTGTTTCCTTTCTTCGTTGTCCAATTTCTCTTGGTTGTCGTGAATAATGAGTGACTTGTTAAACTGATTTACTCTAAACGTATTCTTTGACTGATATAATTATTTTCCCGAACAAGGCATCATCCTATTCATGACCGTTCCCTCGGGGTGGGTTGCGCCAAGTGACAGGAACTACCAGTAAAGTGACCTTGTTCGAAAGAGAGGGTGGCCGATCATATATTAAGCCTAGCGAAGGCACTTGTCCCATTATCACGATGTTTGATCGAACAGACATGTAAAATCGTAATGCGGAAGTTGATGTGCAATTTATTTATGCGAGTATCAAGCAAGATATAGCGAAAGGGAGATAAGACTTTATTGCGGTTGAGGGGTTAACCATCGTGCCAGCCTCAGTACAGGTCACCTTTCTTATTGAGAGAACGCCTGATGATGGTTATCCGATGCATACACTATTATTTGACCACAGTTACTCACTTTTCCCAAAGCTTTTTCTTCTTTACATTCCTTGACTCAAAATGGAAGTGGGCGCGAAAAAAATTCCACCAAGAAACACATCAGTGTATAGGCTAGATAAGAATCATGAACGAGGAATAAAGTCATGAAAGCACTGCACTTCCAACAAGCTGGCGGTGGGAGATGGAGTAGGTATAAAGTTACGTCTTTGAGTAGATAACGTTAAGAATGACATATCTATCTCGCGATGATATATCGAGGCGGCTACGAAAGCTCGCGTCTAATCTCTCGAAGAATGCCATAAGGAAGCGCAGTGCGGTTTTGCACGGCACTTACAGGCCCTTGTGGCTGCCATAAAATAACCATTTCATTTCGCGTTCACTCGTGACTCCGCAGTTCGATGACTCGAGTAATGGCAGGCATATGAGCTTGGACTGATATCAGCTTTGACTGGCTAAGGCATGGTAAACCCCAAAGCGGAAATTGGGTACGAGATAGAAAAAAAAAAAAGACCTTACAAAGCGCTTGAGCTTTGCCTGCCAGAGTAGAGCGTGATAGCGTATTCGGGCTCCATGTGCATGCATCACCTTCTCGACTGCTAGTGTGTGTGCGGTTCTAGATAGATGTCTCCACAGAGCCGCAAGGAAACGAATAAATGCGCTCGCTTAAAACAATCTCAGGCAGCATGTTGCAAGTACAGTTGCGAAGTGCACACTACGCCATCATGCTACCTTCTGCGAATCAGCGAACGGCCCACTTTGCGTTCGTAAGTTAATACGCGAACGCAAACTTGGGTGTACGTTAAAGAACCCCAGGTGGTCGAAATTTCCGGAGCCCTCCACTACGGCGTCTCTCATAATGATATGATGGTTTTGGGATGTCAAACAACACATATCAATCAATACGCGAAAACAAGCATCGATAATTTTGCTGTAGCGAATAATGATTAAATATGTCTGAGTGCTTTGTAATGGGTGGGCCTTTGAACCTTGATGCTAACTTGATATATGTGGACACCTCACGTGATTGTACGCTTCCGGCACACTATTTTACCGGCGTTAAGGAGACTCCATTCACTGCATGACGGTCATATAGTGTGCGTGCGTGCGTGCGTGTGTGAGCGTGTGCGCGTGTGCGTGTGCGTGTGTGTGTGTGTGTGTGTGTGTGTGTGTGTGTGTGTGCGTGTGTGTGTGTGTGTGTGTGTGTGTGTGTTTGATATCCTTAAAAAATTTTTTAATCTTATAAGCTTGAAGTATTACTTGTAATGGCTAATCAATTCATCTCAACTATTACATTCAGTAAGAGAACTAATTTAATAAGCAAGACACCATCTGACTCATGGCCTATCCCCCGAAGTATAGGTTGCGCCAAGATGTGCAGGAGCCAACCAACCAACCAAGCAACATACGCACTTTCAGGCTTGGCATCTCTATGGTGCCTAGGTACCTGCCTTAACTTTTGCTTATTTTACATGTTTACAGTGAAATAATCATTCCGCGCTTCTGATTTGCTTCCCCTTCAGGAACAACAACAGAAGCACAACTCGCTGACCTCGACAGAGGCACCGCCAGTGGCAGAGAGCCCCGGATCCTTCGTGTGCGGTGCGCCTTGCAACGAATCCTTCCCGGTTCCGGTGTGCGGATCCAACGGCCGAGTCTACAACAGTGAATGCTCAATGATGAACGCCAACTGCAGGTAAGTTGCTCTAGTTTATGCTGCATAATTAAAAAAGCAACGTGTGTTGTGTACATTTTCTTTCCTTAACCTCGGTTTCATCTCATGCTCTAAACTCTTTAGTATTTCTTTATTACACAAACAGTAAAGTTAAGCTATGAGGCCCGCCGAAGCCAAAAAGTCTTGCAGAAAGCAAATATCGCGTTGAGCTGTACAGTGCTAAAAAATAATATTTGGCGAAGTTTGGACTAAGCCGCTAGAGCCTTATGGAAACAGCAAAACTGGACAATTCAGAAGACTAATCTGATTGCTTCTGCAGGTTGCTTCTAGGCCCTACCTAGGTGACGCTGGCCGTTTCTATAGGCCATCGCTATAGGCTTTAGCTGCTACGCTTATTCTCAGCGCCGAGAGGTTCCAGTGAAACCACGTATATACAGTCACAGACACGACACGGGCATCACATCGTTGGTGTAGGCCGTTTCCCACGGAACGTTTCTCAAAGTACTTGCTTGCAACCATAGAACAGCGACTGGGTATAGCTCTGTCAGCGATGTTAAAACGTACTGTGTCTCGACGCGCTGGCTGGCATGACAGCAATTTTTTGGGGCACGTTTTGTGGAATACGCGCCAAGCATCTGAACACGCTCGATTGCAGGTGTTCAGTCGAGTACACACCGACTGTTGAAAGTAGCTCTGGTAGCTACGGAAATGGTGCACCCATTTAAAAACATTCGATTCAGCAGAGCATGCGCAATATTTCTCGATTCATCTATTGCTTGATGTTACGTAAAGGTATCCACCTACTTTTTTTCTCTCTTTGTTTTGTTGTGTTCGGCTTCGACAGCAGTACTGACTAGAAGACAAGTGCGGAGCTAAAAAGGGAGATATTTTGCTGTTAGTTAGGATTGGCGAAAAGAGTTGTACATTGATCTGGCCCTCGTAGTCGCTTACTTTACAACCTAGCTTTCCCTTCAAGCTTGACCCTAAAACCCCGAAAATAAAATGAGTCCATTAGATGGGTACTTGATTTGATAATTAAACTATGAGAACCAAAAAGGTAGGTGACATACGTGAAAAGTGTAGTAAAACTGAAATTTCATAATATTCATTGTCATGTCATATGTTGCCTTGCTTTCCCTGTTCATATTAATCACATGCATCTTTCAACGTGTTACATGAGTGCAAATAATACTTGTAAAGAAAGAAATGGCAGATCCGACGTACAGTGGGAATCGATGACATGTGAAGCACGAATGAAGAAGGTTGATATGTCACTTTAAAATCAGCACGACGTTACGAGGTGCGGATACATTATACCGTACATGACTTCTATGTGATGACTATTACGTTTGGACGTTTCATTTACCTTCGAAACCTATTCACGTCACCTGATACAAATTTGGTATATGAGGAGCTAGCGAAACGGCCGCAAGCACGCTATGAGCGTAGCATATAGTCATGTTTTACATGACACACATGTCATGATTTTCATGTTTGGACGTGTCATTTCGCTTCGTCGTCCATACACATCACGTGATACCAAATTTGGTATATGGGTAACCAAAAAACTGGTCGTGAGCACGCTGTGAGAGTAGCATGTAGTCACGTTTTCCATATCAGGCATATCATGATTATCATGTTCGGACGTGTCATTTACCTTCGTCGTCTATTAACGTCATGCAAACCAAATTTAATATTTGTGGAGCTAGTGAAACGGCGGCAAGCGCACGTAGCGTTGACGCGTGCGCACGTTGGGCGCAGCGACGCTACGCTATAGCAAACCTCGAGCACTCTGTAGTCTGACACTAGGTGCGACCAGGGTCTGTAGGTGAGGCTTGGCGGCAACCGGCGCGAAATGTGACACGCTGCATTTCGCGCTGAAGTCGTTACCCAGACAGCACCGCGACTGCCTAGCTTCGTGACGGAGGGACGCCGGGCGCGCTCAAATGCGCATGTGTCAAAGCAACGCAGCGCGGTGCGCGCCTGCGAGCGTATGCTTCTCAGATCGGCGCCTGGCGTGGCATTGCCAGCATGACTCGACGACACGAACGCCGACGCGAACGTGTGCCGGGTCACGTCGAAGTGTATTGGCACCTTGAATGTGGCACGTAGTCATGTTGTTACATGACATGCATGTCATGATTATCATGTTTGGGCGTGTAACTTACATATGTCATCCGTTCGCGTGACGTAATACCGAATTTGCTACATGGGAAGCTAGCGAAACGGCCACGAGCGCATCATGAACGTAGCATGTAGTCATGTTGTTACATGACACGCACCTCGTGATTATAATGTTTGCACCACTCACACACCTTCATAATGCATTCACGTCCCGTAACACCAAATTTGGTATATGTGAAGCTAGCGAAACGACTGCGAGCGTACCATGAGCGTGGCGTGTCAGTCAAGAACTTTAATATATGGTCCTGAGGAGTTTAAGCCACCAGGGTGCCCACGTGGGACATCCTAGCAGCCGCTACCGTAGGCGACGCCCGAGTCGGGGCGGGAACGTGGTGGCGTTCCGCCAGTTCTTGGGCCCTCTGGACTGCCTTAAGTTGGTTTCGGAGATTGGGGCTCCTGAGTGCCTCCTCCCAGTCGGACTCACTGGTGAGAGGTCCCTGAGGTAACGCGGGACATTGCCAGAGCATGTGCGCGAGTGAACAGTACACTTCTGTGCAATCTGGGCACTGTGAATTTATGTCTGAGTTATAATGGCTGAGTCGGCCCCGTGATGGGTACGATCTCGTTTGTAACATTCTAAAGGCTACTTCTTGCGCGCGTTCGAGTTTTGAATGGGGTAAAGGGTATCGGCTTCTGTTGTGTCGGTAGTGGGAGGTAATTTCATGGAAGGTGAGTAGTGGGTCATTAAACTGCACGTCTGGGCCCAGCTCTTCGGTGGCTGATTGATCGTCACGGCGGGTCAGTTCTCGTGCTCGATCATGAGCCATTTCGTTGAGGTTGGGTTGTTGTGGGTGAACGTCTTTGCCCATGTGGGCAGGGAACCAAGAGAGGTAGTGCGAGCCCGTATATTTCCGTGTTTGTAAAATGCGGGCTGCTTCTGGAGCGATGTTGCCGGTTTCGTAAGCCCGAATGGCGGCGCGAGAGTCTGTGAAGACATTAGTGAGTGAGGGGTCGGTCATCGCTAAAGCTATAGCAACTTGTTCGGCTATGGCGCTTGTTGATAGCCTAACCGAGGCGGCTGAGCGTAGGGCTCCGTCGCCATCTACTACCGCGAGTGCGAAAGAGGAGGAGTTACCGTATTGCGCTGCGTCGACGAATGCGGTAGAGTTGCGATTCGCGGCGGTACGGTTTAGGATCGCGCGAGCGCGGGCCAGCCGTCTGCCTTCGTTGTGTTGTGGGTGGACATTTCGCGGAAATGGGGTTACCATGTAAGTAGCTCGGACAACTCTGGGGAGGGTTACTGCGCGTTCAAGGCAGGGGTGTGGGGACATGCCGGCCTCGCTTAGAAGTCGGCGGCCTGCCTTGGAGGAGGAGAGGCGGATCACTTGGGCCGTGGTCTGGGCCTCGATCACTTCATCGATGCCGTTGTGCATGCCTAGTTGGTCGAGACGGGAAGTGCTCGTGTTTTGAGGCAAACCAAGGACTTGTTTAATGCTTTTGCGCATGAGTGTGTTTAGTTTCGTCTTTTCTACCTTCGTCCAGTTGTGGGCAGAGGCGACGTAATTGATGTGACTCATTAGGAACGCGTGGTATATGCGCAGAAGGTTGGCCTCTCCAAGGCCTCGTCTACGACCCGAGACTCGCTGAATGAGTCGGAGCATGTTCTCGGTTTTAGCTGTGATATGTTTAATTGTTCTTGCATGACAGCCAGTGGCCTCGACGAGGAGGCCGAGAATGCGTATGGAGTCCACGCGGGGTATTCGCTGCCCATCTTTGGCGTGTAGCGCTATGGGTAGATCACCTAAGGGTGTTAAGTTACGAACGCCTTGGCGAGATTGCCGGTACAGTAGCAACTCTGATTTTGTGGGCGACAAACGAAGTCCAGTGTTTTTTAAGTAGGCTTCTGTGGTATTGAGAGCAGTTTGAAGGGCTTGCTCCAACTCCGCCAATGAGCCTCCCGGGCACCAGATGGTGATGTCATCTGCGTATATAGCATGGTTTATGTTTGGGATCTGGCGGAGTTTGTCAGATAGTCCCTTCATTACTATGTTAAAAAGGAGTGGAGAAATGACTGCCCCTTGTGGTGTCCCGTTGGAACCTAATGTGTAAGTGTCGGATGTAAGTTGCGATAAATGCAGCTGAGCTTTTCGATTTTGCAGAAAAGAACGAATGTACGCCTGGAATCTTTTACCGAGACCAAGGCTGGCAATGGATTCCAGTATAAAGCGGTGTGAGACGCTGTCGAATGCTTTAGTGAGGTCTAGGGCGAGAATGCCACGAACATCTCTCGTTTTTGAGTCGAAGATCTGTTTCTTTAGTAATAGCATGACGTCTTGTGTTGAAAGGTGCGGACGGAACCCGACCATGTTGAACGGAAAGAGTTCGTGATCCTCTATGTAGCGCGATACACGATTTAGGATGACATGTTCAGCTGCTTTTCCTATGCATGAGGTTAGGGAAATCGGGCGTAGATTGTCGAAGTTGAGTGGTTTACCTGGCTTTGAGAGAAGGATTACCGTGGCCGTGCGCCATTGTTCAGGTACCTGGCCAGTTTCCCACATGTAATTAATGTCTTTTGTGAGTAGTGTGATGGCTTGGTCGTCTAAATTTCGCAACAGGCGGTTGGTTACCTTGTGCAGTCATGTTTTATGACTTACATGATATATAGGTCATGATTTCCACGTTAGAGTCTGTCCCTAGTGTTCGCCATGCAGTCATGTCATACGATGCCAATTTTTAGTCATGTCATGTGAACGAAACCGCCGCAAAAGCTGCAGGATAGTTAAATGTAAATCATGACATTCATGACACCCATGTCATGAGTTTCATGTTATGACTAGTCAAATATGTTCTTATACAGTCATGTTATGCCATACCAAGTTTGGTATCGATACCATTATCAGAACGGCCAGGAGAGCTAAAAGTCGTAGGCAATATCCAAACGGCCAGGCGAGCTAAAAGTTGTAGATAGATAGATAGATAGATAGATAGATAGATAGATAGATAGATAGATAGATAGATAGATAGATAGATAGATAGATAGATAGATAGATAGATAGATAGATAGATAGATAGATAGATAGATAGATAGATAGATAGATAGATAGATAGATAGATAGATAGATAGATAGATAGATAGATAGATAGATAGATAGATAGATAGATAGATAGATAGATAGATAGATAGATAGATAGATAGATAGATAGATAGATAGATAGATAGATAGATAGATAGATAGATAGATAGATAGATAGATAGATAGATAGATAGATAGATAGATAGATAGATAGATAGATAGATAGATAGATAGATAGATAGATAGATAGATAGATAGATAGATAGATAGATAGATAGATAGATAGATAGATAGATACGCTCAAAGTCGCTGAAGTTCGCTAACTAATGCTTTGCCTTTAAAAGACAGCGCCATCAGTACTGATCTCTTTTGTTTTTTTTTTTTTCTTTCTGCCGTGCTTGTAACTTGAGAAAGAAAACATTAATGTCAATGAACATCTGCAACGTCTATTTTACACTGAAGCGTGCGCTTTGCCGCAATAATAGTAATTTCACGGTGAAGCAAACGTCCCTTCTGTTTTTTAGGTTGGCTTCGCCACGTTACGAACGTGCACTGCCTAAAGATTTTTCTGCGCCGTTACGGCTTTAGCTTTTTCATCTCTTGAATGTTTTCTCTCGTCGTTATTCTAACAAGCAAGCTTCATGCAACACACACGTGTCATGTCTGTTTCATCGATCATGTCGTGCTGCGGCGTTATGATTCACTGACTAAATAAAGAAGCCACGCCATTGGCCGTTAAGGTCGTTTCAAGCGCAATATGTACGATATATTTCCACTGTACACACAGTGGCTATGTCACTCTGTGACGCAGGAGAAGACAAGGAAGTGTAAAAGACGATGACAGCGTGTTTTTGTGCACTGATCAGCAAAAAAAAAAGTTTGTTGTTGTACAAAACAAAAAATTGTTCTCTAATATATATATATATATATATATATATATATATATATATATATATATATATATATATATATATATATATATATATATATATATATATATATATTCGTGTGTGTGTGTGTGTGCACATACCGAATCTTGGCCAATTTCTGAGAGCGGGTGTGCGCCAGAAGTATAGAATCTACATCTTTAGAGATCAACGTCCAGTGTTCTGTTTTGATTGGTCGTGTTTGTGTGTTATCAGGAAATTTGTACAATTAAAGTGCTGCAATTCTCGGCGGAACAGTGCTCGATATTAGCAACACTTGTGGACACGCGTCCGTGCCCAGTGAGCGTTATGTGACCGCTGTTAATAACGCTCTATTGCATTCAAATGAATTAATGAATGAATGAACGAATGAATGAATGAATGAATGAGTGAATGAATGAATGAATGAGTGAATGAATGAATGAGTGAATGAATGAATGAATGAATTAATTAATGGACTTTATTTAAAGTCCCACAGTTTTAGCGGGCGAGATTGGGGAAGAGGGGATTAACCCCTGTCTCTTCCCACACTTCAAATAAAATATCTGTATTTCCCACAAAAATAGGATTTTTAGGAGAGGTTTATTTGCTAAAAGATGTTACGGACAGCTTTATTACGCCAGAAAGTATTTTGCAAGGCACCTAAGACTGTCACAAATTCTCACAAGACACAATATACAAAAATAAGGTATGGGGCATTATGACTGTTTCATAATACCCAAGTGTCACTAAAGAATTTAATATTGAGTTAAGCATGCTTAGTACATAAACCCGCAAAAAATTCGGAGCTCACTCAGACTCACTCATGAAGTATACTTGTTAAGTAGTTATCAGCGACATGATAATGTCACATGTGCTTCTTTCTTTCTACTTTCATGTTAGCGCCCTAATAAATGGAACTGCTTTCTGACGCAAGAACAGCCCGCATGACTGCGAACTATCTAGATAGTGTGAGAACGTTCCGACTAGATTACCTGCTCAACTCGAACATTACAGTTAGTTATGGAACTTACTCAGCCGCCACTCTGGAATCTTCCATGATACATGCATAAATGATCGCGCTTGATGATTTGTCAGTTTATCGACGGCCGACACTCTGTTCCCCGATGTCATTATAGTGCGCATTGCTGTAGCATGCGTTTTTTTTTTCCTTTCCCAGTTACAAGTTCGGCCGTATTAAGAGTTTGATCTCTGGACACGTCGACTGCCATTTTCGTCTGCGTCATGACCGCGTGACATGTTCATTCTTTATGAAGAAACATTTCTCTTTCTGCGTACCAGCATTTCTGATCCTACTAATCTTCCTCGTGATTCCTTGCTTCCGCAGGAAACAGAGACGGAAGCGCGGCTCCACCGAGCCGGTGCAGGTGGTCGAGTGGGAGCGGTGCCGTGGCCGGCACCCGCTGTGCCCCGACAAGTGCCTCGACATCTACGACCCGGTGTGCGGCAAGGACGGACGCTTCTATCCGAACCTCTGCATCATGCAGCGGAGGAACTGCGGGTACGTTTCCCGAACAGACACAATTTCTTGGACAAATAACGTCATCATCGACGAGATTTGACACTTTCGTTGTGAGGCAGGGACGCCGCAGTGGTGCAAAGCAGTAGAACGAAAATATTAAAGCCAACTGAAACAAACCTTTAGGCGGCATAAAAGCCCTATTTATCGCTACATAACCAACCCGTCCGTGCGATTTGACCGTATTCATCATAATAAAACAGTTGGACAACCATTCAGTCGTCTGAACGTTCATCAGTACTCATTATTCCCTCATGCTCTTTCATTATGGAACAAGTTACCTCAGGAGGTCGTTAATGCGGACACGACACAATCGTTCGCCCATCTCGTCAATGACCTAACACTTGATCTTTAATATGCAATATATTATGTTCCTCATTAGTGCTGAGATTTTTTGTATTTCGGTATGAATGCCATTATTGCTATGTATTATTTATATTTTGCCTGATGTAGGGAATTTCCTTATTTTTGTACCAAGTATTGTATTTTCTTATATTTTTATATTCTGTTTTGTCACTGACATTTGTTACCCACTTCTGATTGGGCCCGAACAGGGCCTGCAGTATTTGAAAATAAATAAATAAATAAATAAATAAATAAATAAATAAATAAATTTACAGAAGGCCGGTTTCTGAGCAAAAGTTTCTCTTTGAACTCCGAGCGGAAACGACCCGTATAGGCTTCATAACAATTGCAGATTTTGACAACGTAACTGCAGTGTAAACGCCGCCATTACCGATCGCAGGTGGGACTCATGACAATAGGTCATGACTTGGCATACTGTATAGGCTTGTGTAAGGGCTCAACTTTATTGCATTGTTTTTTTTTTATTTTGAAGTTGATGGGGGGGGGGGCAATCTTTTTCATGGTGTGGCAGGCAGCACAGCAAGAAAACAAAATGACTTCGAGATCTATATAAGAATGATTTCTAGTAATTATATATGTGCTTTTCCTGCAGTTGTGGCTCACTCAGTGCGCGCTTCGGTTATTTTTATTGCATACACAGCACTGTGTTTTTATAATTCTTATTTTCCAGGAAGGTTATTGGCACCCAGACCTTGGCCGTTTGCATAGCGAGTGCCCGAGGTAAGCTATATTTTTTATGCATGTTTTTTTCTGTCGTATACATAAGTGCATCAATATAAACTGTCCATATGTATCTACATAAGACATCGTAATATCGTAACACCAACTGGACGAACACGGCGTGCTGCAATCAGGGCTGTTAGGGTGGGTTCGACTGCGACCGTCCTTTTACGTCTCCCTCTGCTCAAATTGCTATCCTAAAAAGAAAAGTGAATTTTAACGTTAACTTGAATCCAATGGAAGGTTAAGGCTAGCTTCACCAGCCCTCATCGTCCGCTGGCTTCATGTGGTTGTAAATGACAAAAAAAACATTTGAATTTTCCTGCCCTAGCTCGTCGATTTCTTATAGAAGTACTCGCTTTTCTGATATATCTCGCCTTTCAATTTGTGCTACGGCGGCTTTCCCGGAAGGTATTTTAACGCAAAAGCTTTCTATAACATCCTATAACACGTAACACCTCTGATACATAGAAAACACTGTTGAAGACTGATCGTACACCCCCGATCCAGAACAGAATAGTGAGCCCATTTATCTAGCGAGAGGGATATGTTCTAAAAGCCTGACTACATTTGCGAAGTTGATAAAGAAACATGGTTGATTCCTCCATCATAAAAGTCAGCAAAACACGAAAGTAAAACGTGTGCTTAAAGAAATAGTTTAATATTTACATTGGTATAAGATAGCTTGTGCAATGTGTCTTCGTATTTCACAGCTATAGCACCGCTTAACGTGAATGCATCTACGCTAACGCTTCGTCATACATATCTATCCCGACGACCAACCTATATTATTAATGATCACACAAATTCTTGTGACCATAGATGCTTGAGGTAGCTGTAGTAGCTAACGGTGAGAGCGGAAACAGAGAAAGCGATGTGACATACAGAAGAGCACGACTGCATGGACGCCAAATCGGGGTTAAGGTGGCCTATAGCCTATATCCGTCGCTGCTTGACCTTCTCTAAAGTGAACCATCGGGACGTATTACTTGTGACTACGTCGGTGCACACAAAGTGATTCTGTTATTGCAACTATATCGCAGAGTCCCGCAAGCTGAATTCTTGCCCTCAGGACTGCTCGGAGCTGTACGAACCCGTGTGCGGCTCCAACGGCGAGGTGTACCTCAACGAGTGCTTCTTCAAGAAGGAGACCTGCGGGTCAGTATACTCGTGATTCCACATGTAGAGGAGCGCAACGGATGAGCGATTGCTTCCTCCGTCGTCAATGATATCTTTTCATTTATTTTCCTTTTGCGTTTTTTTTCTGTACCTGCCGCACTTTCTTGTTCGAACTTTAGTTGATTTTCCTGATTGTCCATTGCTTTCGGGAAAGCTATATGTTTAGTAATTAAAGGGAGAGGCAAAGAATGGGAGAGGACATCAAAGTTGCTCCTTAATAAGTAATGAAACTTTTGCTCGGGTGAGTTTTGTTATTTCCTTTACTAGTATAAACATGCGTAAAATGTCCATCAGTAACAATGCACACTGCAATGTTGAGAACACCTAGCTCGAATGTACGTATCATTCACTGTTAAATAGAACACTTTGATGAGTACCGGTTATATTACGGGCCTCATAACTGCATGTACACGTAGAAACATTGTTCGTGCATGGCATTAATCTACGAGAAAAAAAAGACAGTATAGTCAGCCAGTAGTAGCCTTAAGCAAATCTAAGCCACTATGCTTTTGCTAGTGAGCGAAATTCAGACATCGTGCACACGAAAGTGTTCACTTTAACCGTGAACCCGTCTGTACGTGTGTGGGCGTCATTGCACGTCCAACTGCGCCTTTTTCGCGCTGCTTCGTCACTTAAAAAAAAAAAAGGAGAGGCTGATTTGGGCCATATTTCTGACCCATCATCAGAGTTTGTAGTCTGGTTTGCCAGCGTTTACGTACTCTCTGAGAAACCGTGGGCTTGTTATCTCCAATTGGCAATGTTACATCACGCTGACGATAACACGCATGCCATGTTATTCGTGACTTGAAAGCATCAAGCGCGTGCCGATAACACTATAGCGAAGGCTCCGCTAGAAAACGGCGCCGAGCCGAAGTTCCCGAGCACGTGCAACCAAAAAATACTAGTTAACGGGGAAGGCAGCGGCTGCTGTGAGGAGACCCCGAAGCGGTGGAAGGCTTGCGCCAACAACAATGTGCCCGTGTCGTGCGTGCGACTGCGCGTGATTTTGCTCGAGCCTCTCTGCGCTGAGAATCAACGTAGATGCAACCGAGCATCGCCTATAGCTAAAGCCTTACAACGACAACTTGCAGAAACAACTTGAATCACCTATCTATAAGGCCTAGAAACAAGCTAGGCGCCACCAGATTAGTCTTCGGAATCGTCCCGTTTCGGTGTTAAAGGGCCCTTATGATAGAGCTCCTTATGATAGAGGCTTGTCCGTCGGCGACGGTGTTGTGCGTCGTAGACGCTGCTGACGATGACGAATAGGAGCATTCCAGACCACACACTGTCTTTGTACCATCACGGCATAGCACATGCGAGGTACTTACTTTACGCCATGACGATGACGCTGATCACGATGAAGATGATGATCACGGACAACTGGTTTGTTCGGTAGACGACGTATCGATGTGCTCTACGATGCATTTCGTACGACTCGGAACAACCAACTGATAAAATCCCGGCTGCCGCGGCTGCATTTCCGATGATGGAGGCGGACATGTTGTAGGCCCGTGTGCTCAGATTTGGGTACACGTTGAAGAACCCCAGGTGGTCGAAATTTCCGGAGCCCTCCACTACGGCGTCTCTCATAATCATATGGTGGTTTTGGGATGTTAAACCCCACATATAAATAAATAAATAAATAAATAAATAAATAAATAAATAAATAAATCGAAACAACCAACAACAACCACCAGGCCACCGTTCCCCGACCTTGTCTTTGCCAACTTACCACGAATCAATATGAAGGCAAAACAAAATTCACAACTCGACACAATATATACGAGTCATGACCAATAAACATTATGTATTCACCGCTTGGCACTCATTTACATGTGTCAGTGTACAATGATGTAGGGGATTTACGGTAACACTGAACGATCCCACTGCTTAATCGACTCATCATTCAATTCTTGAATATGCAGTGATTTCTTTTTTCTCGCTGCAACAACGAGCACTTTTCTGCCATTTTCACATGTACCTCAACGGCAAACGTTTTTAGTTTTTTTTTTTCAAAATAACATACCTTAGCTGTGTGTGCTGTGTGTGAACAAGTGAAGAAAGTTTGCGTGTCGTCATATATCCATGCAAATATGATTCCAAAAGTACTCAAGCCTTATAAGACGCGTGCAAACCCAAATTAAAGAAGTAGTTCTCACGTGCAGGAGCAAGGAGCCCGTGCAAATGGCGCCTTTGAGCCGATGCCTGGAGCCCCCCAAGTGCCCCAAACGCTGCCTACCCATATTGGACCCTGTTTGCGGCTCAGATGGACAGCGATACCTCAACCACTGCCGCATGCAGCAGAGAAACTGCGGGTAAGCTAATTATTGTATCATTGCTAATAGTAGTAGTAATAGTAGTCAATGGCTTAGCCAGAAGTTTTTTTCGGGAGGGGGGTTCACACCAACCTGACGGGGGGGGGGGGGGGGGGCAGGCATCAGCTTTCCCTTGTGACGTCACTATCGGTGGTAGTTTAAAGAGATGGCGTGCATATATATCAAGTCCTGAGATTTTCCCTCTCCCCATGAGAGCAAGTAAAAGTGCTGTAAGAATGATTGATTAAAATGTGTGGTATAACGTCCCAAAAGCACCATATCATTATGAGAGACGCCTTAGTGGAGGGCTTCGGAAATGTAGACCACCTAAGGTTCTTCAACGCGCACCCAATCTGAGGACACGGGTCTACAGCATTTTCGCCTTCATAGAAAATGCAGCCGCTACAGCCGGGATTTGATCTGGAGACCTGCGAGTCAGCAGCCGAGTACCTTCGCCACTAGACCACGGAGGCGGGGCAGTACTGTAAGAAGTAATCTAAATACAGTAAACGACAATTACAGTGACCGTATTACATTTTGGTGTTGCTTACTTTGCTGAGCAAATTTCTTACTGCCGATGTGCGTGAGTTCATGCCTATGGGAATGATCTTTATGCTAATCTCTGTATGTCAAGCAGCCCTGACGTAGTGGTAGCTTTTAGTGAACATTTTTCCGCAATAACTAATTTTTTGTAAGATACGCTGTACGTTGCCAACACAAATTTTCACACATTATTTTTCGGATAGAATTTCAGTTGCACTGTGACTTTTGATAGCAATGAAGTACTCCAATCGTAGGGGTTTTGTTGCGCTATCTGCCAGGGCAAGGTAATTATTGATGAGAAATGTTGACTTCGTCTCAGTCAAAAGCACACTTGCGACCGAACTATACCTATTCATATAAAACTAGCTTGGTCGCTGCATATATGCGCTAAAACACTTCAATACGCTAAAAAAAATTACGGCATATTCACAGGGTGAATGATGATGAATGGGCGAAGCTCCGGAGGGATTCATCGGTAAACTGTGAATCTTCCGTGTAATTCGCCCAGTCGATCATCATGTAAAGACGTGAAAAACGTTGTGTGTGTATATACACAAATCAACTTTTATTTGTTCTTAGAAGATGGATGGCTTGCGATGTCCCTTCATTATGACAGCTTTATGGTCTGTGAAATGAAGGGATGAGCGGTTCCTGTATGGGTTGCAGTGGGCAATTTGCAAATACTAGGTCTATGCATGTTCCTCGGATCGTGGTAGGTTTCATATGGTCAAACGATATACGTCTTACCGTTTTACCACCCGTCCGTTCGTCTTACCACCCGTCCGTTCGCTACAGGTACCGCTTTCTAGTTTATAACATCTTGCATCTTTTCATCATCAGCTACAAGTACCACCATCTAGTAAACACTACAAGAACTAAACGAGAGGTGGCTACATGGATGGATGGATGGATGGATGCTATGAGCGTCCCCTTTATAACGGGGTGGTGACAAGTATGCCACCAGGCTCGACAAAAAAAAAAACCTTTTTTCTTTTTTTTTTATGTTGGCCTAATGCCTCTACTTCGATAAATTCTACCTTAATGGAAAAAAGGTAAATTTTCAGCTTAAGTTCTCTGCCATTTACGGCACACTGTCCATATTTTATTTTTCCAATATTTATTTTTGTCCTTTCTCTCTAATTTTCTGCCACCAATACTCTAACCGTCTCTTACTTATTTCAATCGCGGGTGTGTTCAGCTTTCCATTGTTGTCCCTAAAACCCAAGGCTTCCTGTAGGCTCGTGCCCAAACGTACACCTGGGTGGATATCTCCACATTCAATCAGAACATGCTCCGCCGTTTCCTTATCTTTCCCGCAGCATGTGCATTGTTCTTCTTCTTTACTGAATCTTGCTTTATAACTACGCGTTCTAAGGCAACCCGATCTCGCTTCAAACAGTAAAGCGCTTCCCCTTGAATTATCGTAAAATGCCTCCCTCCTTATTTCATTTTTGCCCTTTCGGTAGTTACTCAAAGCCGGTTTTTTCTCCATAGCTGCCATTCAGTAAATCCTCTCCGCCTCCCTGACTTTTCCCTTAACGCTCTTTGTTGACATATGGCTCACAATACCGGCCGTATATTTACTAGTGAGTCTTCTAGTTCTTTTTCTCCACTGTGTGTCCACGCTCTTCCTATACAAATAACGGAACACCTTCTCTGCCCATCTACTCTCCTTCATATTTCTTAGCCTTTCTTCGAACCTTATTTTGCTCTGCGCTTCCCTCGCCTCAAAACCTGCCCACCCCATATCGCCCTTTACAGCCTCGTTTGTCGTCTTCCCGTGAGCACCCAACGCGAGGCGTCCCACAGTCCTTTGATTTACATCCATTCCCGATTGCATCTCTGCCCTCATGCACACCACTGAGTTCCCAAAAGTAAGCCCTGGAACCATTACACCCTTCCACAGACCTCGAAGCACCTCATACCTATTGTATCCCCACAACGCTCTGTGCTTCATTATTGCCGCATTCCTCTTTCCTTTTGCTGCCGAGGCTTTTTCCTGTACCTCCATGTATCTATCACTCTCATTTACCCATACTCCAAGGTACTTGTATTCACTTACCCTCGGTATTTCTTGGCCTTGTATGGACACCGTCTGATCACAGGGATCATTGAATACCATCAATCCACACTTCGTTACACTGAATCCTAGTCCAAGAGCTTCACCTTCCCTTCCGCATATATTCGCCAGCTGCTGTATATCATCTCGACTGTCCGCAAATAAGACGATATCGTCCGCATAAAATAAACCTGGAAGCTTCTGCTCAATCATCATGCCGCCCTGTTTGTGTGACAGATTAAAACCAATGTTGCTACCTTCTAGCGCTTTTTCCATACTCACCATGTACAGCATGAATAACAGTGGGGACAAAGGACATCCCTGTCTCAGACCCCTGCTAACCTCAACGTTCTCTTTGCTACGCATTCCTTCCCACTCTATGCAAACTGTATTTTCTCGGTATATCTCCCTCAAAAGCTGTATACCGTCGTCGCCCATGCCCATTCCTTTCAATATATCCCACAAAATTTCCTGATTAACGTTGTCGTATGCCCCAGTGATGTCTAGAAAAGCCACGTACAAGGGCCTATTCTCTATTTTAGATATTTCTATACACTGAGTGAGAACAAACAGGTTATCGTCTAACCGCCTGTCGACTCGAAATCCGTTCTGAAGTTCTCCCAAAATATCGTTATGTTCGGCCCATGTTTCTATTTTCATTTTTACTGCTTGCATCGCCAACCTGTATAGTACCGATGTAATGGTTAGTGGTCTATACGAGCGAATCTTGTCCTTTTCTCCCTTGCCTTTATAGATTAAGTTCATTCTACTTTGTCGCCAACTGTCCGGTATTTGTCCGTCCTTTAAGCTTTTTTCTACTGCTTTTAACAATGCTTCTTTAGTGTTATGTCCTAGTACGTTAATGAGGCTAACGGGAATCCCATCTAAACCCGCGGCAGTGCGCTTTGGAATTTTTCCTTCGGCCTTTTTCCAGTTGAAATTATCTAGTACTAGCTCTTCCTCTGTTGCTTTCTCCGCCACACTTTTACTCACCGGGGAGATCCCCTGGACGCTCTTTTGAAACGAATCGGCTGTTACCTTTTGGATGTAACCTAGCGCTTCGTACCCTTCCAATTGATTTCCTCCTTCATCTAGAATATGTTGTTGCGTTGTGACAGACTTCCTACCTAGCGCCTTTATGTGGCTCCAAAAAATCCTAGGCGCGGCCTCCTTTTTTTCGTGTATCTCTGTCATCCAGCGTTCACTTTCACCTTTAATTTTTGCCTCTACCAATTTCTGTACAAGGGACTTTTTCTCCAAATATATTTCCCATATTTTTTTGACTTCGTCCTGCGGCCGCTTCTCCTTTTTTGCCTTTCTATGCTCCCGTGATGCTTCGCGTCGCTTCTCGATCGCCTCCCGGATTTCCTTGTTCCACCAACTTTTTGGCTTCCTTTTTCCTTTCCAGCAAACGGTTTTCTTCTCTTTCCCTATCTCCTTCGTCATTAGATGTAACAGCTCCCTATACTCCCAGTCCTTGCCTGGTATTTCACCTACTGCTTCCTCGACTCTTGCGGCTATATTTATTATTTGTTTGTCATTTAAATACGAGCTGCCAGACTTTGATTCCATGCTCATATTTTTAGTTTCGTATCCCATTTGTAATGTTATTCGTTTATGATCACTACCCAAGCTGTTAATGCCTTCCTCGTCTATCCTCATTTCTGTCAGTTTGTGGTAAATTCCTTCAGTCATGAGACAATAATCAATACTTGATTGCTTGTTTCCGACTTCCCATGTGATCTGGCCGTCACATTTAGGCCCCGTGTTAACTATCTCCAGACTATGTTGCTCGCAAAGATCTAGTAATAACTTCCCATTGGTGTCTGAATATCCGTCAAGGTCATGTATGTGGGCATTCATGTCCCCTAGAAGGATGATTTCGGCCCCATTACCAAATTCCTTAATATCCGCACTCATGCAATCCACTATCTCCTGATTCTTTTCTCTGCAGTTATTCCCCGTCCACAAGTAGGCTACCCCTAGCCACGTTTCCTTTCCACCTACTGTGCCCAGAACCCAGAGGTGCTCTGAACACGTCTGTTTCACTCTAACCCATTTGGCTCCGCGGTGAATTAGCATTCCTACACCCCCACCTTTCCTTTCCGATATGGTCCTGTTACACCCTTCCCAAACATAATTTTTAATATGTGGTGGCTCTTCCAAGTCTCTAAGGTGTGTTTCTGTAACCGCATACACGCCTATCTGTTCTTTGTTTAACTGCTCCTCAATCTCTAACCATTTTGCCTTCTTTCTGCCACCCTGCATGTTTATGTAACTAATTGCAACACGCGCCTTTTTCCTTTTTCTTTTACCTTTCTTCTGGTTTTTCGCAATTCTACCTGTCAAAGCGTCCTCCTGGTTGTTGTCCCTGTTACGAGCTACCCCGGACTCCGAA